GCCCAGCTGGGGGAGAAGGCGGCGAAGGTTCAGGGCGCCTACGGTGGACGCTTCGCCAGAGGTTGCTCTGAAGCCTGGCTTCCGAGTAACCTCTGGGGAAGTGTCCACTGTGGGGGCTCTGAACCTTCTCCCCCCAGCTGGGCGGCGCAGGCTTCGAAGCGACCGCCGGGGAAGCCTCCCCCGCGGTCGCTCAGAAGCACCCGCCCGTCAGCTGGGGGGGAATGGGGCAATGCGCAATGCGATCGCTTTTGCGATTGCAAAATCCGCATCGCTATGCAGATTCGTAATTAAACGGGGCGCTCGTTATACGAGGCACCACTGTATTGCCAGGTATATATATGTAGCCATATCTAATATACTATACTGTATTATAATCACTAAGAACTCTCTCATGTCGTTTTCTCCCCACACCTAAGTCTCTAAGTCTCTTACTTTGCTAAATTTAAGTGGGAGGAATGGAAGCAGTTGTGATAAGAGACTCTGCATAATTAGTGTCCTTAAGTTTCAAGGCTTGTCTTTCAAACAGAGTGCTCTTGCCAAACTTCACATTCAACCAGACTCTTAAGAAATTTTCTTGAGGCCAGAGCCTCATTAAGCCTCTGGAGTTTTGGCCCCATGCCAACAAATATTTCCAACATGGAAAAGAAACAGAAATAGTAGTTCCTGCAACCACCAGCGTCATCACTTCCCATCCTAGGCTGAACAAGATGACTCAGAAAGTTGTGCAAAAAGATCATTAAAAAAAATCAAAGTGGCGAAAGATGGACAGAAGTGACTGCCCTAAAGGAACGATAGCCAGTCCACACAGATGGGCCCGCTTGGGGCTCATAGCCACTGGCGTTTGACCTGCTGTCAAGAACTGGTCTTGTACTGATGACATTACTGTTTTATTTGATGTCCACTTGACTTTGAGAAAGGAATATGATAGTCCAAGGGCGGAGAATCTATACCTTGCCCACAACTCACCTCCACTCTGGTTGTAGCGATTCATTGCAGTCATCAGATATTCTCTGAATAGTGGCTCATTTTCCTCCAACGTCTTGGTGTTCCACTTCACGAACTGGGGATCCTCCTGCACCACCTTCTTCATCCATGGGGCTCGAGGTTGCAGCTGTCTTGTGTTGCTGTCATAGGAATAGTAAACCTGGTCGTCCACATATACCACTCCACTGAAATAGGGCAGCCCATGGCCAGTTTCTGACACTGTTGTGAAGAGGGCATGAAAGGAGTGGGAGGAGCCACCTGAAAAGGAAGAGAGGGGAGAAGTGACATGGTCCTT